ATAGGGTGTAAACCTCAACAAATAAAGTGGAAGAGAGACCTTGGTAGGACCAATACCTCCAACAAGTTTCCCAAATCTTACTTTACCTTTTTGGTGGTTTTCGGGATAAAAAAGTATACATATCTTAAATACCACAACAATCTTTGATAACAGCACAAAAGATATATCTTAAAACATGCATACAGATTAAGACATGATATTATTAATATATATAAAACGATGATAATTTTGGGTCATAACACAAAAACATACTCTGTCCCAACATAAGTTTCCCCGACAACATTCTTTTCGAAAAGTGAGAACTTTTTCCCATTTAAATGGGACAGATGGAATACATCATGATTTTAGTTACTACTCACTTTTAATTGCTATATTGTATTCTTATGTGTTAATTGGTTCTTTGTTTACATCTATATATGTGCTAGAAGAATTATTCGTAATATTTTTATTAAATTTCGTACTCAATAACTCCAATAAATAGATTTATTTCTCACATTATTGTTAGAAAATAGAAGAGGTTGTTGGTTGTATGAGTAGAATAAGTGATTTTAGTGAGGTGTAATGTAGATGATGTGTTTTAGAGGAGAGCTCTTGTCTCTAGAAAAGTAGTATTGTATTGATGTTTCTTGGTTTTGCTTGGTTTGCAAATGAGTACAATGAGTCCTATTTATAGGAGCTAGAGGATCATTCTAGATCCTTATTAAATGCTATGATTCTAGAGTATTCTACATCTATGTCTAATTACTCTAGATTTTACATAAGAATTCTCTAGTAGAGAATTTTCTAGAATACTTTCTAGCTTTAACTCTCTAGATCATCTCTAGCCTTTTCTACATAGAATATTCTAGATAAATGCATCACTATTTAATACTCCTCCTTGATGCATTTATCGGTGACTCCAAGCATTCTTCGCAGAAACTGGAATCTGTCTCTTGGCAGGGCCTTCGTGAAAATATCTGCCAATTGTTCTTCTGTTGGGCAGTACTTCATCTCAATATGCCCCTTTGCTTGGACATCTCTCAAGAAGTGATACTTGATATCGATGTGCTTAGTACGATTGTGCTGAATTGGATTTTTAGCCATCGCAATAGCTGACTTGTTGTCGCAAAATATTTGAGTCGCAGAACTTTGCAATTCACCCATGTCTTCTAATATTCTTTTTAGCCATATAGCTTGGCACGCTGCTCCGGCTGCTGCAACATACTCGGCTTCGGCTGAAGATAGTGCAACAGAATCTTGCTTCTTTGATCCCCATGAGAAAATTCCCGAACCCAGCTTAAATGCGTAACCGGAGGTGCTTTTCATGTCATCTTGAGATCCAGCCCAATCACTGTCGCTATATCCAGTTAGTCGTGAGTCAGGAGTTGTTTTGTACCAAATACCATAATTGATGGTTCCTTGTAGATACCTAAGGAGTCTCTTTGCCGCTCCATAATGAGTCTCAGTTGGACTTTCCATGAACCTCGAGAGCAAACTTGTAGCATACATGATGTCCGGCCTCGTAGCCGTTAAGTAGAGTAGACTCCCAATCAAACTTCGGTAATTGGTTGCATCCGTCTGCTTTGACCCATCTTCTTTCTTCAATTTTTCATTAGGAACCAGTGGAGTAACGACGGCTTTGCAGTCTTGCATTTTAAACTTCTTTAGCATGTCCTTAATATATTTTTCTTGAAATAAGAATATGCCTTCTTCTTCTTGACTTATCTCCATGCCAAGAAAGTAGTGCATTAATCCCAAGTCACTCATCTCAAAAGTGTTCATCATGTCTCTCTTAAATTCTTCAATTAATTTGGAATTATTTCTCGTGACAATTAAGTCATCAACATATAGAGAGACGATGAGAATGTCAGATTTACCTTGGGATTTGATGTATAGTGTAGCCTCGTTCTTACTCCTCCTGAACCCTTGACGGGTGAAGTATCCATCAATCTTGCTATACCACGCTCGTGGAGCTTGTTTGAGCCCGTAAAGCGCTTTCTTTAGACGAAGAACTTTTCCTTCTTCTTTGATGAATCCTTCTGGTTGCTCCACATACACTTCTTCTCGTAGCTCTCCATTTAGAAAGGCTGACTTGACATCTAGCTGATAAATTTTCCATTTCTTCTGAGCAGCAAGAGCTATGAGTGTTCTTATTGTGTCCATCCGGGCAACTGGTGCAAACGTCTCTGTGTAGTCAACTCCCGGTATTTGAGCATACCCCTTTGCAACCAGCCTTGCCTTATGCTTCTGAATTGAGCCATCGGGGTTCAATTTTGTTTTATACACCCATTTGACTCCAATAACCTCCTTGTTATGTGGAAGATCTACCATTTCCCAAGTATCATTCTTTTCTATCATTTTGATCTCCTCCTCCATTGCTTTAATCCAAACTTTTTCTTTGGAGGCTTCGGTGTAGCTATATGGCTCCAAGGAGCAAAAGTTGCATGTTTCATAGATGTCAGTAGACTCATATAGGTCTGCTAGAGTTCTTACCCGAAGAGGTGGGGACTCTGGTGAGGAGACGTGATTTCTTGATGTATTAGCTTCAAAAGAGGATCTTGGAGTAGACGTGGGGCTTTGTTGATCGTGATTTTCCTCTTCTGGTATTTCCTCTAGTTGGACAGTAGTTGTCTTTCTTTCAACTTTTTCTGTCTCCCAATTCCAAGAGGCTTGCTCGTCAAACTCCACATCTCGACTTGTCACCAACTTCTTTGTCTCGAGATTGTAGATTCGATATCCCTTGGATTTGGAGCTATAGCCAAGGAAGATGCCCTTCTCTGTCTTGTCTTCTAATTTGTGCCTTTTAACAGAGGGAACATGAATGTAGCATATGCTTCCGAAGACCTTCAAATGTTTGGCTGAAGGCTTTTGTCCAGACCATGCCTCAATAGGTGTTTTGTTTAAAACCGCCTTAGTTGGACACCGGTTTAGAAGATAGACTGAAGTATATACTGCCTCTGCCCAGAACGTTTTAGGCATTCCTTTTTCAGCTAACATAGACCTTGCCATCTCCATGACTGTGCGGTTCTTCCTTTCGGATACCCCATTTTGTTGTGGAGTGTATGCTACTGTTAGTTGATGCTCTACACCTTCATCTTCACAGAACTTGTCAAATTCTTTTGAGTTGTATTCGGTACCTCGATCGCTTCTCAACTTCTTGATTTGATGACCACTCTGTTTCTCCACGAAGTTCTTGAATCTCTTGAATATTCTAAAGACTTCGGATTTTTCTTGGAAAAAATACACCCATGTCATCCTAGAGTAATCATCGATGAAGAGTATGAAGTACCTGTTCTTCGAAACTGAAGGCGTGCGCATTGGACCGCAAACATCGGTGTGGACAAGCTCTAGTATCTGTTTGGCTCTCCATGTCTTTTCTGTTGGAAATGGTTGCCTGTGCTGCTTCCCAACCATACATCCTTCACATACTCCTTCTTTTTCATCCAGTAGAGGCATGTCTCTCATCATCTTCTTTAGGTGTAGTAATCTCAAGGCATTGAGATTGAAGTGCCCAAATCTTCGATGCCATAGACTCGTATCACTCAGTTGAGCCACCATCGCCTTTTGTGGATATTGCCATTGAATAGGAAAATTTCTATTATTTCCCATTTTTACTTCAACAATTTCTTGATTATTGTTCTTGTCATAAATTCGGCAAGAATTTTTCTCAAAGTGCAAGGCATATCCACTTTCCATCATTTGGCCAACACTTAGTAGATTTTGTGCAAGGCGTGGCACTAGGAGAACGTTTCTAATAAAGCGCGTACCTTTCTTTGTATCTATGACAATGGTACCTTTCCCCTTTGCCTCCACCAAATCGCCATTGCCCATCTTGACTTTTGTCTTGATAGAGGTATCTAAGTCATGGAAGATGGTCTCGTTGGATGTCATGTGATTGCTGCACCCACTATCGATGTACCACTCTTCTTCTTTTGCTTCTATGGCTGAGTGACATGCGTAGAACATGTACTCCTTCTCCTTAAAATCTTCAGAATAGTTGGCCTGATAGTTTCTTCTATCTCTGCAATCTTTTTCTTCATGCCCGAACCTCTTGCAATTTCTGCATTGTGGCTTTCCTCGATGGTAGCAATCTTTCTCTAAGTGATTAGTCTTCTTGCATATTTTGCATGGTGGAAAGTTCGTCTTCCTCTCCTTGTTGTTAGAATTTTCATCTTTATGTGGTTTAAAGTTTTCACCATTTCTCGAGTGATTCCTTTTAATGTTGAGCTTAGACTGGAAGGCACTTTCTAATGAACTTTCGTGTCGTCTGTTTAGCCTTTGCTCACGTGCTTCTAGCGACCCCATTAATTCAGTGATGGACATTTTTGATAGATCTTTTGACTCCTCAATAGCCGAAACTACTGGATCATATTTTTCAGGGAGACTGATTAGGACCTTCTGGATTATTCTCTCGTCGGTTATGTTTTCTCCAAGAGTTCTCATTTCGTTGACTATATGTATAACCCGAGAGAAATAATCTTTTGCCATTTCAGAATCTCTCATCTTTAAATTTTCGAGCTCTCTTCTTAAACTTTGTAATTTAATAGTTCTAACTTTCTCATTTCCTTGAAATTCCTCCTTAAGAATATCCCAAGCTTCTTTTGCCGTAGTAGCACGAATTATTCTCGGGAAAATAGTATCACAAACGGATTGTTGAAGAAGATAGAGAGCTCTAGCATTTTGCTGTTTTTGTTTCTTACGTACCTCGGAAGTTGATGCGTCGTCGCTTCCTTTTTCCGGCATGATGATTCCTTCTTCAACAATATCCCAGAGATCATGTGATTCTAGGCAAGTCTTCATACGGACACTCCAATAGTCATAGCTTTCTCCATTGAACATCGGAGTTGATACCGAGAAGCTTGATGTCGTCATAATGCCCGCTTATGATCGAACAAGCTCTGATACCACTTGTTAGAAAATAGAAGAGGTTGTTGGTTGTATGAGTAGAATAAGTGATTTTAGTGAGGTGTAATGTAGATGATGTGTTTTAGAGGAGAGCTCTTGTCTCTAGAAAAGTAGTATTGTATTGATGTTTCTTGGTTTTGCTTGGTTTGCAAATGAGTACAATGAGTCCTATTTATAGGAGCTAGAGGATCATTCTAGATCCTTATTAAATGCTATGATTCTAGAGTATTCTACATCTATGTCTAATTACTCTAGATTTTACATAAGAATTCTCTAGTAGAGAATTTTCTAGAATACTTTCTAGCTTTAACTCTCTAGATCATCTCTAGCCTTTTCTACATAGAATATTCTAGATAAATGCATCACTATTTAATAATTATTAATAGAAGAAGTGTAGAAGAAATAAAAAAAACATTTTATTTCTATCTTATGCGAACTTAAAATTGTTTCATGCCACATTAGCCGCAAATCTCATAATGTGCAACCATTGCTCCAACCACAATTTAAAACCCTGATGTGGGTTGTTCCTCTGCAGCTTGCTTTTTCATTTCCATCAAAGCATCTTCAAAATACCTGGCTAGAACGTCCGGGTCGGGAATGATGTCTTTGGCAACCAAGATTTGCAGGTCTGCTTTGCCATTATAACTCACCATATGTATTGTGATTGCCTGCATGCAATGGGTGCTACGTTATTAATTCACATCTCCAAAATTTAACCACAATTTCACGTTAGATATCATATATATATATATATACTTTTTTTAGTACCCTCTTTAATTATTTCAAATTGATTTACATAAAACATTTACGAGATTGATTGAAGATGATAAAGTTCTGAGATATTACTAAACATGATTTTTTGTAAAATACTCCGTATGATTTATTTAGTCATAATAACAAGGAAAAGAATAAAAAATTCTGTAATTGAGAGTGCACGCGTTATATTGTAGAAAGAATACAATAGTACTCTTTCTTGTGAAATTGGTTGTTGTGTAGTACTCCTATATAGGGAATTTAATTTTTAAAATACATGATACATGATTGCACAAGTAATGGGGATGGACATACATGAGGGCAGCTTGATGGGGAGTTTCTTATGTATGTAACGGGGTTGCCTGCAATGGAGATCTCTTCTTGTGGGCCAATCACATTTGAGATCGCGAATGTTGTGTTACATATGATCCGATAGTTGAACATGCTCACGAGCTATATCCAACGACTAACTTAAATCAGAATTGAAACGTTGCTTTCATGAAAGCGCCTCTAATATATTAAAAGTAGAAAAACTTGGATGGACAATATATAAGCAGTTACCTTAATATCAAGGAAAGACATGAGAAAAGCCGCAATTTTGTAGGAGCAAATGGCTTCTAAGGATAGTTTTTTCTTGTCAATCATAGATTTGGCTCTCTTGACAAATTGGAGAGGATCGTTGGGAGCGTGAAAGCAATGCACAGGCAAGAGCATGAACCCAAATTTATTACCCCACATGGTGCCCGATTTATCGCTATTCATCAACTTTGTCATCTCCTTCAAGTTAACCATGTCCACTTGTGAATACACTATTATAGCTAGGAAAAATCTATTTGTAGACATCACTTTACATGTCATTTGTACACAGGCAAATCGTTAAAAACATTGAGGATATATATGGAGGGCTTAAAATCAAAGGAAGTCAATTTTTTCTTACATTTTTATAGTAAATTTTCCCTTTTTTCCTATTTACTCACTCACTATTATCTTAACTAAGCCTAGTATATTTACTCTTAATCTCTGCCTGATCGAATAGAGTAAAACTAAATAAAACTAAATACCTGAGGCCCAGGTTGTGGCCGTAAATTTACCATCGCCATACCAGTGATCCGGACGCCGTCCTTCACTTCTAAAAGACATACAATAAATGTAGTTTTAGTTGTGATAATTCATAAAAAAATGACTCTGAACAACAACAAAACACTAAAAGAGGCAAAAATATGACTTATACTGCAATGAACCATAGTACTATATATATATACGGGGTAGTATTTCAACAGTACTTGTAGTTATTTCACTAGTGCTTAAATTTATCTTGCAATGACCTTGAAGATATTTTAATTTCTTACGTAATATTACGAAAATATCTCTAACTCTTACTACCTCTGAACCAAAATGGTTTACCATATTGATTTTTCATGGTCAAAGATGACAAATTTTAGACAATGATATTAATTAATTATTATATATGCTTATAATTTATAACTTTTATACTTTTATAAAAATATTTCGAATACGAAACATTTTAATATAATTTTCATATTCAAAATAATTTCATAATAAAATATCATTGGTCAAAGTTGATTGACGTTGATAAAAAAATCAATTTGATAAACCTTTTTAGACGTAGGAAGTACCGGATAATGAAGTTTACTGGAAAATTCTATTTCTACGATTCTACTCACTCTCTTATACTCAGTGTTATACCCACCGCGTGAGAGATTGTTTTTTGTTTGTGAATCTCGTTGAAAGATAAAACAGACATGTTTATGTTTGTGGACACATCTATGATCTATTTTATTTGCCAACGATATACATAGACAAAAAAATAATATAACGGGAGGATACAAATAGTAAACCCCATCAAATTTATTTACCTTTAGAAGATCCGAGGGCAAGGTACCTTGATAGCCCACATGCAACGACTCCGAAAAGTACATCATTGATGGTCTGCACGATTCTCATACAAAATTTATTGTAATGTAATAAAAATGATGCATAATTCATATTAGGAAAATAATTTGTAACCGGTGGCCGTAGCTCAACTGATAGCAAGGGAGTGGCATAAGAATTAGATCCCGAGTTCGAATTCCGACAACTGCGATGAGGGGTTACTATGCTAAAAATGCATAAGGCCTCTGCAAGTACCGGGGACAGAGTTCACTCTCTATCTGTCAGATTGGGATTATAGTCCAATTTGCATCCTCTCAACGTATCATCCGATCGGGGTTGGGGCCTCTCAGGGATGGGGTGTCATCTTTCTTTTTAGGAAAATAATTTGTATTAATATAATAATAATAATAATAATAATAATAACATAATGGCATAATGCTATTAACAATAACTAGAGATGGCAATTGTGACCGATCCGGTGGATACCCGCACCGAACCGCCCCGGTCAAACCGGGGAAAACCGCATTGATCGGGTAATGGGTATGGGGCGGGGAATACCCGTTTTGTTTTTACGGGTAACGGGGCGGTTATGGTTTTATACATGTCCGCCCCATTACCCGCCCCGTACCCGCCCCGTTTATTTTTAGTTATATTTTTATTACATTCTCATCTATTAGTTGTCCCACAACTAAAAGATGAGAATTTTCTATTTTCTTTGTGTATATATTAATGACAAATGTACTAACTCTAGTGTAAGAATGAAAGTTCATAATAGATCTTAATAGTCTTGTTTGATTATTATCAGATTCTTTCTAGATTAATTATTTTTCAGATTAAGTATTTTTAGATTCAAACTCATTTAGGTTGTCTTCTTTCTCGTATTATAGACATGCGAAACTTTAAAGTGGCGTTTAAGTCTAGAGTCATCTAGCTGATGCCATTTTTTGCCTTTTAAAACATTATTTTCATATTAAAATACCAATGACACATTTAATAGTGATTACCCGCGGTTACCCGCGGTTATACCCGTTACCCGTTGGGGCGGTTATGGTTTGGGTAAAAATTACCCGTTGGGTAATGGGGTGGTTATGGGGCGGGGGAATTACCAAACGGGGCGGGTACGGTTATATGTAAAACCGTCCCCGATCCGCCCCGTTGCCATCCCTAACAATAACGTACAACACCAGTAAAAGTAATAATAACAATATACGGAGTAATACTTCGTAAGAATAAAATATTGCAATTCCAGTTAAAAACTGACCTAGAAAACCTTTTAGGGGAGATTTGAATTTTAAAGTTTTGTACGTAGTAGCATTTATCGACCACAGCTTAGGAGGGACGGATCCTGTTCTATGATTGGTCCGGGCTTTGATCGGTCAATTTTTGGTACAACGTACTGTTATCTAGTTTTGGAACCGATACCAAATTACCACATGGTCAAATCTAGTTCCGAAATTGATTCCTTGAAAATGGGACCAATTTGAACATGTAGTTTTTATGTTTTGAAGATCGTACCGATCGAGTTTTTAGCTGATTTTTTTTAGGATAAACTAGACTTGATGAAGAACATGTGATAAAAATTTCATCAAAAAAATCATCGGGAAGGCGGCCAAACGCCGTCGGCCGGACGCGCTTCTCCTACGGACGGACGCACCAGAACACCCTCATGATCTTGGTGGATTATTTCTTGGATCATATTTGATTGATAAAGTTTATTTGGTGAGACTATATGATAGAATATATAATTTGTGATCAAAATATAAATATAGATTATTTATTTGAAACTATATGTGATTAGTGAATGTAGCATATATATACAAAAGGTTTAATTATATTGAGATGATGTTTGAGGTACGTAAGTTCCGATTACAATACATCAAAAATAAAGGTTATGTAGAACATGTATATTTGATAATCATGGATGTAAAATTTTAAGATGCATGCTCTCATAAATTAAACATTTAACTTTTCCCTTTTGGAGAATACTTTTAAATTATTTATATTAAAATGTAATAATTGTGAACAAGCTTCTCAATATACTATTTTATTCTTTACTTTTACAATATTAATCTAATTTTTATTTTATAACTCTAACCAATGAATTATAAGGATTTTTTCATAAACAATACTAAAATAAACTTATTTGCACAAACATGCATGACTAATACTCCGTAATTACTACTCTCTCTTTCCCATAAAATTCTTCCAACTTTCCTTTTTGGATCGTCACCAAAAAAAATTCTCACTTGCCATTTTTGGACAATTTGTGTGGCTCACTTTCATTTCACCTTTTTTCTTACACAATTACAATCATACATTTCTACTTTATTCCACTTCCTTAATATTCGTGTCAAGTCAAAGTCGGAAGTTTTTATTGGGACGGAGGGAGTACAATTTAGTGTCATAATAACTTAACTTTAAAAATTGAATATAAGTGATTATGATTTCAATACTACTCCAGTCATTATTCACATTTTTAAAATATTTTTATTTTAGTTATAAACAAGTAACAATTTCAATTATAAATGGAAACGCCTAAAAATTATACCCGCTCCCTCCGTCCCACTAAGATTGTCCCATTTTACCTTTTCGGGAAATCTCACTAAGATTGTCCCATATATACCAAATTTAGTAAAGTTTGTGTGGCTCTAAATCATTTTTACTTTATTCTAACTTTATCAATTTAATATTAACCACACAAATTCACTTTTCTTAATAATCGTGTCACTTTCTTTTTTTTCCAATCTTAGTGAGACGGAGGTAGTAGATGATACCTACGCCAAATCAAACGTGTGCACTACTAGGAAAAAATTAATCACATGTGCAACGGCTCGCACTTCCGATGCAAAAAGTAACCACGTGAAAATGGTGCTACCTTGTGCATGGTATAGACTCGGCTGTACCTAGAGCATGGTAGAGTCGGGTCTTTTTGTAATTTATTCAAACTCTCATGGGCATTAGTTAGCTTAGTGTTTCCTGCTGCTCTCTTTTTCATCGTTCGGCTGCTTCTCTTTTTCTTTCGTCGTCACTACTCGTGTGTTGCGTGTTGCTTTACTTTTTTTCTTTTCTCCTTTTTTATTTTGTTTATTCGTTTGACTTGTTGCTTCCCTTGTTTCTTTTTCTTTAATTTACTTGTTGTTTTTCTTTTCTTTATGTTTTATTTAACAATCTTTTACTTTATTTTTTATTCAATTATTATAATAATGTATTATACTACGTATAAAATATTATTTAATGTTTGAGTTTGTTTTTTTTTTTCAATCAACCTTCAAACTTAAGTTTTTTAGTTTGTGCATTACAAAATATTTTAGGTATTATAGAAAAGAGTTTGTGTTATATTTGAATGAGTATAACGATTAAAAAAAATGAGCATACACAATTGAATTTCAACACATTAGAGAATTCAAACGAGCTTTTGAATTTTTTCATGCTCATTTTGTAAGTTGCGTATGCTCATCTAGTACTCAATAAAGAAGATTTGATACTCAATGAAAACGTCTTGATACTCGCTCAACTAAAAAATTTATGATTTTCCTACTAATGCTCATTTTATAATTTAGGAATGCTCATCAATCGGTACTCAATTGCACGTTTTAATACTCAGTAGAGGAGGTTTAATGCTCAATGAAAAATATCTGGATGCTCAACTAATAAAGCTTATTATTTTCATGTTAATGCTTATTTTGTAAGCTACATATGCTCAATCGATACTGATGTTATGCTCATTATTCCACTTTTAACACTCAATAAAATACGTCAGGTGCTCATTAACAGTGTATTAATGCTCATCTAACGAAAACCGTGATTTTTACTGAAATTACGAAAATGCCACCGTTTTTTTGTTGTGATATCAGCTTTCTTGTAATAACATGGTGCTCATTATTAGACTCTTAATACTCATTAAAATTGGACTATTGCTCATTAACACTACACTAATGCTCAGATAGCATAAACCACGGCTTTCACATTATATTACAAAAATGCCACTGACTGTACGGTGCTCACCGTACAGCCGGTTGTACGGTGAAGGGACTCATCGACTACTCATAGGTAACAATTTTATACTACCATCCTCCCAACTCCCAAAAAAACATTTACTATTGAAAACTGACTCAGCCGAGAAAAACAAAAGGACCACCAGCCCACCCAGGCCGGCAAATTGACTCCAAAAGACAAAATGTCTCATATTTGTGAGTGGTCTCGTAAATAAGGGCCCTCTTTTTATAATTTTATTCCCTTTCGATCTTACTTATTACAAAGTAAGTTTTTAGTAATTAGTACACCCTATGATATTACGGAGTACTTTATTGTTTACTCATATGTGTTCCTCCCTTGTGATTGTACATATGGTTAAAAATGCTGCTTAATATGGGCAATTATGTCATTTCTAGCATGAAATGGATATTGGAGCAATCATGTCATTTCATTCTTCTCAATAAAAGCAAATATGTCAACAACTTGTCTATTTTTCATATGAAAAAACATATGAAAATTACATATTTTCAATAATTTGACACACCATGTGGAGGATAACTAACCCTGCAATGACTACAGCTCTCATAGGACTACAGGTATTATATAAATCGTCTATCTTGAGCCGTGATTGATAGAAATTCATGAGAACAAACAGGGCCGTCTAATGAATTCGGAGATCCCGGTTTCAAATGTAAAATTGAGGCTCACATTAATATAAAAAATTAAAAAAAAAATCTCAATCCAAATACTTATACTTAAATCAATTGAATACTTATTAAATAATGTAATAAAAAAATTCTAAAACTGACTAAATACTTGATTTAATGCAACCGAACTCATTATTGAAGCAATTTGAGTAAACAAAAACTAAAATGACCAATGAAAAAATGATTGATCTATATTTTTCTTCCTTACTAACTGTATTTTACTGATTAGTATTAATATACGCTGTATAATATTATTATATAATACTAAAAATTAAAAAAATTTGGGGCCTCATAAATTGGGAGTCATGTTCTAGATAACCTATTGAAGCCCGTAAACACGGCCAAAAGAAAATCAATTTGATGACTTAGGAAAAA